TCAGCAAATCGGTCCAGGCATCTTTGAGAAATGATGATGGACACACCCAAAAAACTGGATTTACATGATTTGACATTCAAAATGGCCGCCAGGCAGCCATATTTAATCAAATCAGGAAATAAATCCATGTGAATATGTATACAAAGTACCTCCTCACTGTGTCTTTGTACCTAGTATCATTGAAATCCGTCAAGGCATCTCTGAGAAATATCAATGGACAGACAAAAGCCATGATTAACAATCAAAATGGCTGCCAGTCGGCCATATTTAATCATTTCAAAAAAGTAAAAAAAGTACATCTGTATGGATGGTCCCTTTGTCTTTGTAACAAGTCTCAACAAAATCAGTCCAGCCATCTCTGAGAAATCACTCCGGACGGACAGACGGAGACGAAACTACAAGCCCCCTCCAGAGTAATTATCACTGCTACAAATATTTAAATACACTAATCAAGACTGAATAAAATGCACATGTGTAGCACGTTTTAATTTGTGAAGCTAATTTTTAGAACATAGACAAAACATAGTTAATGAATATGCAAATTAGAGATTAATTATAACCAAGGGTTGAATATTCAACTAAGCACAATATGGGGATACAAAGTAACAAGCCATTTGAATAATATATTGCTATCATACAGAACAACAAGCTGAAACAGTTAATTAGTATGCTAATTAATATGCACAAAGTAATTTCAAATACTATCATATATTACTCTACACAATGTAATGTATATAATGTGAATGTATTATCCTGAATCTTGGTTAAATTTGAAAGACTTTACTGTAAATACAATTAAACATGGGTTTTGTTAACTAATCAGCAAACTAGAGCAAATAAACTGATTTTCAATGAAAACAAAAAATTATACATACGCGACTTGTTTTCGAAGTGCACACAATTTATTTTTTGGTCTTAGTATGTAAATTAGCTACCTAAAATAAACAGATTATAATTATTAGAAACTATGATATGCATATGCCTAATATGCATATATATGCATATATACCAAGTTTAAATTCATTGCAGACCATTGTTATTAACAGAATAGGCAAGCCGTGCATGACACAGTCCCCGTTAGTTATCAAATTTGAGATATATAGTTTTGTTCATAATAATATAGTTGGAACATAAACATGTCAGAAGTATGGATCCAGAAGTTGATGCTTGATTTATGATGATTTTTTATCATTAAAATGATTGACATCTTGTATCTGATTGTCAAACGAGTACTTGTCCATATTGAGAAATATTGCTCTGGAACAGCATTAATTAAAACAAAATGGCCACCAGTCGGCGATTTTGAATATCTATAACTTGATGTAAAAGGAATATATAAAACATATTGAACATAATCAGTCAAAGCATATCAGAGATATGGCTCTAGAAGCGCATTCATTTAAACAAAATGGCTGCCAGTCGGCCATTTTCAATCTGATTTGAAAAATAAAATGATGTGCATCAGGAACCCATAGCACAAAAACGGCTGCCATTTGGCCACTTTGAATTAGATAGTCAAGCCAATATATCTATGTCATGATGTATAATGAATATATAAAATTTGATCATGATCAGTCAAAGCATGGCAGAGATATGCCACTAGAACTGCATTCATTAAAAAAAAATGGTCATTTTAAATTGGATCTGAAAAATAAAATGATGTGCATCAAGGTCCTATAATGTCCAACATATGTACCAAGTTTACCGTAAACCAAATTCATCCATAAATGCTTGATTTTGATGATTTTTCAGCACAAAAATGGCCACCATTCGGCCATCTTGAATTAGATTGTGAACCAAATTCATGTGCAAATGTATGATATTATGGATGATGAATGTGTGAAGTTTGATTGTGATTGGTTCAAGCATGTCTAAGATACAGGTCTGGACGCACGCACGGACACACAGATCGACAAAGGTCAAAACATACCGGTAAGTCCCAATTTCTAGACTGCATTCGAACAGGGACTAACAAGCTGAAAA